GCTTCAATGGTAGTTGCAGGAATGGATGCCTTTGTTGTAACAGTGTTTGTTGGTATAAGAACAACATCTTTTTCTATTCATTCTTAAAAATAAAACTTTTTTTTTTTTTTAATGAATGCATAGAAAACAGTTTTTGTCATTTCAAAACTAATTCTAACCTAACACAGTTACCCTTTTTGGTGTTTCTGAGACTGCTTTTAGAATTTTAAAAAATCCAATTCATTTTTAACCACGTGAAACTGCTGGTTTAAATTATTGCACATCATTACATTTGGACAATGAAAACAACACAGGCATTTTACTTGTCTCTGGTCAACTTCACTTCTGGGTTTCCCTGACACAGGACCTTAGTTGAAATCACCACGTGGAGATTTTAAAATTCAAATAAAACAAGCATGTATAAAACAACCCTCTTTCCACTGAGTTTCTGAAATTTCCATTAAGACATTTCAGTTGATTGATAAGAGGCTTTTCAAGAACCTTCATTTTAAAAACAAAACACTATATATCAGAAGTAGTCATGGATCCCTTTGTGTCCTTTTCTGGAAAAAAGACATGTTTAAGGGGGAAAAAAAAATAGATGGGGGAAGTATTCACATCACATAGCACTTTTAGTATATTTTTAGAGGGTAATTGAAATCAGTAAAAATATGAAGTAGTTTTACATATTGAAATGCCACTCTTTATTGGGACCAAGTATCTGACAATAATTCTAGCAGTTTTTCAGGCAGTTTGGAAAACAGTAAACCAAAGAGCAGTAGGGACACCCGCACAACCACCCCCCCGTTGCAGAGTATTGCAGCATTCTGTGTTTTCCTGCAATTAATACACGCCCCGAGTGGAAAGTAATGCTATTTCTTAACTGAAAAAATACCATACAGGGCGTTAGAGATGCGATTTCTCACACGGTCCTTGAGCTGGGGACACGTTCAAAGGCTGGTCTGGCTCCCGCTGGGCAGGCCAGGCTGGGCCCACCGCGCTCCCGCCGCTGCCGGTGCCAGAGGCCTCCGAGGCCAAGGCCGGGCCGCAGGAAGGCTCCTGCTCATATTGCTCCTTGGAAGGAGGCTTATTTGTCACAGCGTCTTTCTCAAAATATCCTGAGGTGGTCGGGTTGGTGATGCCGGCAGTACATTTAGGAGGAAAAGGGCAGAAGCCACTAACTCATTTCTTCTGTGTCACTGTTGAGCTTGAAATGCTAATTTAGGAGGCAGTGAGCACTATAACAGATAATCCAGTCTCTCTTACTGGTGAATTTGGGTGACACTGTTACGGACAGTGAAATGTTGAGGTGGTAACCAGGGCAATACATTGCCTGGCATAGTTCTTACTCGCTCCTCCTTCCATCACTGTTACAGGGCAATCACCAGACACGGAAGCACAGATTTAGTTCTCACTGCTGGGAGTATCTGTCAGGAGCTTGTTAAGGAGTTAGACAAAAACCTTCTTTTCCATAAGGGAAAAAAAACAAAACAACCAACCAACCAACTAAAAAAAAATAAATCCCAAAACAAAAAAACAACCAACCAAATAATTAAAAGCAAACACACAAACACACACACACACCAAAAACAAACAAACAAAAAAACCCAAAAACAAACAAACAAACAAAAAAAAACCAAACCAAACAAACATACACCACAAAAAAAATCAGAACCAACTTCCTGAAACTCCAATCTCTCTACAATTATCAGGGGATAAAATTCTGGACATGAGCTGTGATAGCATATGTTAAGGATGTGCATTGCCTGTTAGTATCTTACTGGTTAGCTGAGGAAACAAAACTGCAAATTTATTTTTTTAAAGCTTTGTAACAATCTTTCTAAAATATTGGACACTTAGAATGCTTAGTAGATTAGTATTCATTTTGAACAACGAACAAAATAACAAAAAATCCACATGCAATTTTCTCCCTCAAGAGAGAAAACGGTCTAGTGCTTGACATGCACTCGGTTATCTCTTTAAGAGGGAAGGATAAAAACATAAGTGTCTGTATGTAAACACACAGTACCCTCTATTGGAGCAATGGTTTCTAAAGATACTGCATCAACGGACCAGCCTGTAATCTTTCTCATGGATGATCTTACACCCTCATCTTATACTCAAGGAATTTTATTTTTTTTTTCCTCTTCAATGCAGCAACAGCCAAGGCTACGATGAGCAGTCCAGGCAACTGCTAGTATAACCTACTTTGGCTGCAGTTACTCTAGAATCAGCATGGCTAACCTTGTGTCATTTTCAACTCAGCCTTAAGAACATTTAGGAGAGAAGAAATAATCAAAGCATCTGAGGGCACCAGGCTGGGGTTTGGACAGGTCAGTTTGCAGCTCCACCATCGGCTCCCCATGTAGCCTGGTGCACTTCGGTCTCCGGATTCTTTCTTTGCATTCTCTGACAATGCCAACTTCCAGGAGGGTGCAAAAAGTTTTTTAAAAAGCAATGTATCATACCTTTCTCATTTATTTCTCACAAACAATTTTGTTTTAAATATATTTTTGCACATATCCTTTATATTAAGTGAACTAACTTGAATTTTGCATTCAGGGTGAGGATATGCAGTAGCAGTAGTGACCATGATCTAAACCTGAGACTCTGAGCAAGAAGCTGTTGACATACAGCCCTCCCTCTAATCCTTCATAGAAATCTTTCATATTCACTTGTGAGACAGACTGCGGCTCTGATCCACTCCACACTGAGTTCTGTCACATTTCACAGAAGCAAGATACACAGAAGTAAACTGTAAGTTTTAGAGTACCAGGCCAGGAAGTGAAATCAAGAAATCTAACAAGTTTTTGTTTCATACACAGATGTTACATTCTGTCAAAGACAGATTTACAGAACACCTTCTTGTCAAATTAATTTAAAGACTCACGGTAACAAGCTGTAGCACAGAATAGCTGTTGCACCATTATGAACTTGTCAGCTTTCAAGAGACATGATACAATTCACATAACGGTGACAAGTATGAATGTATCAGCTGGACTGAGTTGGATGAGCAGTCCTGAGATGATAAATGTGTCCTTGTTTTCTGAAATATTGTCCACAAATCCAATTTCTGGTTAAAGGCAAAAGTTTAAAAATGCTGTAAAATCTATATCCAAACTTTAGAAGCCTTGCAAGAAATTTAACTGCAATTAGAGAGAAAATATGCTAAATAATAGTTTACCAAACCAGAATATATAACTCATAACCTTCATAGTCTCCTGGATAGTTGACTAGATTGAAATCAGGGGAAAACAAGTCACTGATTGTTTGCTCTCAGTATACAAGCCCTTCATAAAGCAGTTCTCATGCTACCTTGTGTAGGACCCTTGATACACAACCCTCTGCTGCCATACCATGTCCTATTACTAACATTTCAGACCTTTTACATTGATGTATGTGCATCAGAAAACTGGAGACCTGGGAGAGTTAAAGTGATTAGGAAGAGAAAGAGTGAGCAATGCAAAAATCATCCTCTTCCCATTCTGCCTTCTCTTTTCCTTTAACTACTCTTGCTATTGACAAGGGAAAGCTGAAATCAGAACACTGGAGTAGTGAAGGAAAAATAAAAGGACAGCGGGAGAAGGGGGCTTATCACAACTGTGCAGTGTTTATTAAAAGGAAGTTGTCCTTTCTCACTTTTAGCTCAGAAAAAGCAAACAAACAAACAAACAAAAAATCCCAATGTCTATTTCTCCTGATGTAGGAAATCATTAATTGGGCAATGCAGCTGGAGAAGGGACAGGGAAAAGTCGAAGACCCTCTTCCTGCAGCAGTGAGCTATGAGATGGCTCAGTCCTCCCCTGAAACCTCACTCTTAGGTAAGTTAAAATTGATGACAAAACCCTGGCCTGCAGGGAGCAGTTCATAGCTGTTGCTTCAGGCTCTAATCATCCTCACAACTGCCATAACTCAATTAAGACCATGCCAACAGAGGAATAGATTGCTTTGCACCTCACACGTTTCTGCAATGCTAAGGCTGTAGTCCTGCAATCTCTAATGCCAGATAAGTTCACACTACAAATCTGATGCAGATCAGACATCCAGCTTCCATCAAATTCACTAGAACCCATGCGACTCTTTAAGCTGCAGGAGGAAAATGTAGCATACTAGCAACAGACATACAGTGCAAAGACTTTGTATAGATAAAGGAGGGCAACTTTTGTTTTTTTAAACAAACAAAATTTGTGACCGTGTATCAGAGGAGCACTTTGCATCATGTGGCCATCCAGTACTAGACATCCCCAAACCAGATTAAGTCTCCTCTAGAACCACAGCATCAGCTGCAGATAAAGCAAACTGAAAGAATCTGCGCAAGCTCACAGCTGACTATAGGTGCCAGCGGAGCCTGCACTGTCTGAACGTTACAGCAAAACCTAACAGGGACTGTAAGAATGAACACTGATCGCAATTACTCTCATACTACACCCTCCACTGAGTAACACTTTCAAAACCACTATTCAACGCATTTGCTTGACCTAATCTCCAGAACCTCTCCCCATCTTCAGAATACTGCACTGCACAGTGGTGGCATTAAGAGCTGCTAGTGTCACAGGGAAAAGGTGGCACCCGAGATCAGTGCTGAAGCAAGAGGACTGTCTCACATGGCCCCACCTTCGCCAGCTATTTGTTCCCAGTCTTGGATTGCCTCCTACTGACAATGTTTTTCGTACAGAAAGGCTGCCAACCGATCCAGCTGAAAAAAAATGGGGAAAAATAGGAATGTTTTCAGTGTATCTCAGCTAGATTAGTTCCCCAACCCACTTGACTACACAGTGCAGAAAAGGTGTCCCAGAGCAGGAACGAGTTACCGGAAAGGCCCGGGAACTACACAACCACCACCACCCCCAGTTACCTGAGGAATCGAATTACTCACTTTAAAACAAAGTCCTGCATACTGTGTCAAAAAGGGCAGATATTGTCATCTTCTCAGGAAACTGCCACCCATCCGTAGGACATTTAGCAATTTGCTAATGCAGTTTTTATACGGTATACACACACACATTTTGTACACAGAAGCATTTCAATAAGAGGTTTTTAATTCTTTCATTCTGGCATTTACACTTGTAGTTCAAAACTGCCTACATCAATTCCCCCACCTTTTGTAGATCCATGAAATACAGCTACCACAGCACTTCGCAGGTAGATGGCAGTTACAGTGGTCAGAAGTTTTAACTAAGCAGTTTCATAAAAGCACAGTTATGCAATTAAAAAACCAAAAAACTCTGACAATGTCGTTTCCATTATACACTTTTAGACTTCCATCAGTTTAACTCAATCGCAACCTAAACATTTTACGATCAACAAATCATGATATAATCAAAATGCTGTTTAGATAGCTTACTACTTTGAAAATCCCCCTAATAACTTTTAAAACATGTGTCTCAGCCAAAACCTAGTATGTTTAAATTCATTTTCTATTGTACAGAAACATTATTTTTTTCATCAACTGATCAAACAGAGCATTTTTCAGATTCATCAATGTAAATCAAATATTCAGGGACAACTAAAACTTTGGTATTCACATTCAAAAAATATAGCTGCTCAAAGCAGATCTAAAGTAAATTCCAAATACAACCTTACAATATCCACATATAGTATATGCTCAAACCCTAGAAGCTAGAATTCCCCTGCTGCATCTGTAACTCAATCTCTGAGGTTGTATCTGTGCTGCACATTTAGCCAGGCTCCTGCTGTCTGTCTGCAAGTGAGCCTTCAGCCTGGATTACAGATCCCACCCAGCCGGGCTCTCAATATCCTTCCTGGCCCAGAGAGCGCTCTGTCTCACTCAAGCGAGCTGCGATGTTGTACACAGTACACTGGTACTAAACTAAGTTACCTTCCACTGAAGACCGGGGTTTATTCCTTTCTTATCCTCTGTTTCATCCCAAAAACCAAACAGGATGTCTTAAAATATCTGTATTTTAAGTGAACCTGTTTGACTTTATCCTGGACACCATGAAGGAAATACCTCACATGGTCAGTATTGTTTCAGCTGCTAGGAAGCAACTGCTAAATAAGAGATCAGTGCAGCATCTGCCGTCTCTCATTTGGGAGTCAACTCCTTAATCTGGTCACAAAAGCAGTAGACTAATATATTTGTGCAACAAAGCTCAGGGCTAGGTCATAAAACCAGAAATAAGAAAGAGTATTTAGTTGTGCTGATCGTTTTGTCTTACAGAGGAAGGAGCAGAGGCAGAACTGGAACAACTCCAGAGGGAGGAGAGGGTAAGGTAAGCATGGCAGTGGCAGCCTTGATTAAGATGGGACATAAAGTATGGCCGTTCACCTGAAGAACGAAAATAAAACTGACTCTGAAGCCGTACATTTAAATGGGAGTACGCTGCCAGTCTGATTATCTGCACACAGGAAAAGTGGTCTGCTTTCTCACCAGCAGCTGCTTGAAAGTGATCTGATTTACAAACAAAAATGTCGTAAGTAGCACTGTGCTTACTCTACAGAAAAAAATCCCAAACTGTTAGCACGTGAGCCCGAGAAGCTTCTCTCCACAACTCCCCAAAGCACATACTAAGCGAGATACAGCTTATGTCATTAAAATAGTAAAGAAATGCATACTGACTGTTCATTCCATTCCATTTCTGGATAAACATAATTATGAATCTTAAAGAACACTTTCCTCCATATTAATCAATTTTAAAGTAGTACTAATCTAAATGCTAACATACTTGATACTGAAATCTAGACCTATCTAATAAAAAAACGAATTAAGAGAAGCATCTGTTTTTAGCAGGGTTATTATCAATTTAATGCAAATATTTTAAAAGTTATTAATGGCGTGAATTTGGTAAACTTTGATCTATAGATCTCACCAAGTCTCTTTAACTGTCAATGTATGTGATAACAGAAGATGCATTGGTATTTCCTCCAACACCTTTGTAGTTCTTTACCTGAGCAACAGAATATTCTTCCCCTAACAATAAAACCCCACTGTATTTTTCTAGAAAAAATACATATTCTATCAGGTTGAGTTCTCAGTGGATTTTAGCACAGTATAAGCTATTATAATCACTTCTAAAAGATTAAATCCTATTCCCTGTGCCCAAATTATCACAACAGACACATATCACAATCTGTGGGCAATTACAGAACATGGATCCCATCTTACATGAAACTGGACAAAGGTTATACTCTGTATCAAGGAAAGGTACTTCAACAGGCAACACACTGCAGCACCGTTACTGTAATTATTTCCATCCTTGAAATGAGAGACATTTTAAAAGCACAAGCTTTCAGGGCAACTAGTTCTTGCATCTGTCATCACATGTTACTGCCGAGTAATATGCAACCAACTGTAGCTAATCACATATAAATGGCATCTGTTACACAATCGTGCAATATTTTATCCTATGCCCACATTGTAAAGCATGATAGATGAGTACCATTTTAAGAGGAATAAAAGGCCACTGAAAAAACATGTGGAAAAGTAAATTCTCCTTTACTTTACTAAAACTTGGAAAGTATCTTAAATAAAACCATTTTACTTCCAATCTGTGCATTTGCATTCTCTCGTATTAATAATAAAAGAATCAGTTTTGCTTTCAGTTATTTAGTTCCTACAATATTTCAGTTATAGACAGCAGTGAAATACTTCTTTGTTCCAGTAACTTTCTCTTTGAGAACTGAAGTCAGACTGACACCTGGCCTTTTTACTTACAGAAGTTTCATGAAGCCTCGGTGTTGATTTCAGTGTAAAATCTCTTTTAAGTTACATCTTAAAAGCCCATTTTTGTTAATTACCAGATGTTAAAAGCAACACAAATTGGTGCAAAAAAGTAATTTACAGAAGAATTTAAAGGATATGGTGAATTTACAGAATCCTTTGGTTAAATTTACTAAAAGACAAGTTACACTGACAAAGACCACAGTACAAAAAACATTTAGTTTAATTATTTTTAGGTTTCCCTTAGCGTTTTCAGTGTTCACAATATAAAAGATGAAGACCCTCCCCCCTCAAGAAAACAGATAACCACAGACACACAGTCTATTCAAAGGCACTCAGCTTGCTTTTTGTATTTTTAAGTTCGGCAGACAACAAGTTGATACTGCTTTCATTATTTGCTGGTCTAACAGTATCTTCAAAAGTTCATGCAACATGATAAATTATACTCAGGGGCCAAGGACAAAAATATAACATACTCATTTGGAATATTTATTTTGTGAGTAAAATATTCATGATCTTACAAAACTCCGATTTCACCAGACTAGGCCTTTGGCCAATTTTGATTTTTTTTTCCCTTTAATACGCTGTGCTTTTAGCTTCTTTCTCTGCCTGGAATTCATCCATATTGGGTACTGTCCATGCTTGTCTAGGAGAGTTTTTTTGTTTCGTTTATTATCTATGTCCATCTTGCAGTCATCTGGAAAAGAAAGGTATTTATATATAGTGAGTAAAATACATGAATCAGCTTCATAGAAATTATTTGATTACTAGATTCACAAAAGTATCCCTACACACAACAGTATTTGTACATAGACAGCTGAAGGCTTTACACACTGAAACCGCTTTCCAAACCAATACAACTGCAACCCAGGAACTTCAACAGCTGATAGTAAATATGCAGATTTTTCCCTAATGTCTGGGCAAAGCACCTTATTCTTTAGTCTGCCATCTGTTGCAATACTGTGTCTAAAAACATTGTGTGTGGTCTCCATCAAACGCTGCAACCATACAGGAAGTCATAGGCTTACTGAAACATATGCACAATTAAACACTTTTTATGATGTAATTACATCAATTTGAGTGGAAGGTGAAGAAAGTAAATAGAAGAATAAAGAGAAAAGCTGAAATACAAAGATGGTACAAAGCACAAGCCAGTAATGCTACATTTGCCTCAAGAAGTGAGTGTGAAGTCAAGTCTAATATATTTAGAGACAGAAATAGAGGACTGATCTCTAGGATCAGGAAGATTGCCCGTGACATGGTCACTCTCAGGAATGGAACCCCTGGCTAGCTACCACCACATGAACGCAATGTCTCGGTGAGACAACAAGGCTACAAGGAGAACACCTTGTTAAGTATAGATTTGAACTGTGCTCTACTATTTAATTTCCAACTTGTTTCCAAAGTATCCACGTGCAACTCTAAAAGCTTTATCACAAGCTGTTACAGAGAAGAAAAAAAAGACTTTTTTCTGTTGTGCCTATCTGATGTTGGGAGAGAAAGTTCATGAGGAAAATGCCAATGTGTTGCTTCAATAGCTGGAAGCATGCTGATAGTCTACAGGGATCTGCACCACGGAGATGTGCTTAGGGAGCCGTGAGGTTGGGATGCAAATACCTGCAGTCAGCAGAGAATCAGCACAGGGGCCCACTGACTGCTGGCACAACTAAAGGCTAATCCAGCATGGGACAGGGAGCCAAAGAAGTCCCAGCTCCAGAAGCCTCCTGAGACATCAGAGAAACATGAGGCCTTCTTAACAGTGTTGTTTTCCAAATGCCCTAGGAGAGATGGCTTCCAACAACACAACTCAAAAAAACCCACCACCTCAAGAAAACCATCTCTACACCAGCTGCTTCTCTGATTCCTGTCCTATCACATGACTGAGGTTAATCTCTTACATGAATTTTGACTGCAAAAAAGCACATCCACAACAAAGGTCAGCTGCAATGTTAGCTAAAGAAATACTTCTGGACCAAAAATACCATCACATTTTCATCTTACTTTGCAATCTCAAGGATATTGCAGGAATCAGGAAGAAACCTACTGATGAACTAAAGTGGTCCAAGGGCATAAAGAAAACCTATCAACGGGGTTAAAGACAAAGAAAAAAGGACCAAGAAAAAAAAAGTTATAAAAGTAGGTAATTGAAGCAGACTTAATGGATATGATTATCTTGAAAAATAATGTGTATGCCCACAAAGTTTTAAAAACAGCTATAAAGCCATTTTTGACCAAAGGCTATCCAGAGCTCCCACTGTTTTTTTTCCTAACAACAAAAAACAGAAAAAAAAAAAAGATTTCACAGTGTGCTGTGAAAAATATCTTAAAGTACCACAGGTAAATATCCCCAATACACCTACATATGTTCTTAGGCCGGAAAGTTATTCACCTACCTATGGAAAGTGCATATTCTGGATGAATCCTTCAGCTACTTCAGTCTCTTACAATATTTTGCAATGTGAACTCTCTTGTGTCCACAAGTAGTTATGAAGAGTCCTCTCAAAGAAGGCACGATTATTTTCTCAAAACCTGTAGTTGCTTTGTGAAAAGTATCTATACACACTTAGGTATTTCTGAGGACGCTATCTCTCTACAGAGGCTGAGTGAAATTGGCCACTTGCAGAAAAGTTGGCAGCACAATTGGAAGGGGCTGCAGGAAATGACAGCCAGGCATTTGCTTCAGAAGCTACGTTTAAGACAACGATGTTTCTCCAGCTTCAGTATCAATAGGCTGACAATGTCCTTTAACATTGTGGAAATTCAATCCTAACAATCCCATAAACAACAACTTTTACATCTGGTTTATGGGACAAATCAGAACCACTGCCAAAATCACAAATTATACTCCAAGCTACCCTTAAATGGGCAAGCATTTTTATACAGCATGCTATTTCCATTTTCAACATAGTTTACAGGCTCTGCTATTCAGTGTCACAACACTTCCCTGTCTTTCCTAATTTCTGAAACACTGACAAAACTGGCTGCATGACTGACAGTGATTACTGGCATTATTCTATTAACCCCACTGTGGTGACTTCTGCATGCCACAATCAAAGCTTACATCAGCAACATAGTAACAGCTTAAGTGGCAGAAACTGTAGAAGAAAAAAGGACTATGACTTAGTTTAGACTGTAGTTTTGGAAAGAGAAGGTGTCTTTCTGACTCCTGTCCAATACGTAACTATTTAAAACCTTTGTTTCCACTTCCTGGGTTACCTCCTTTACAGATTACTATGTCCTATTCAAGGAACAGAGAGGAAGATTGCATTATCTGTACACACATAATGCCACCCACTCCTGCACCACCTGCAATGCAGCATTAATTAGCATACAAAACCAGGGGCCCTACTACCCCTGCCTTGATACAGTACATTTAAAAAGAGGGGGAAAAAAAAAGAAAAATCACTCTGTTGTTGATAAAATCGCTACAGAATTGCTTTAGATTTAGACCCAGCTTTTGTTAAATACTTAGTGTCCCCCTTAAACTCCTTAAATTATATCATATCTCCACTTTAATCACAAATATAATACTGTGATTGGAACGACTGCTAAGCGATGAATCCTCACTCACCTGTCTTCACTTAGAGACGTGTCTCTAACAGATACTACATACTTTAAACCAAAAGTTAATAAATTTGTTCCACAAGTGAGCAGATGCAATACAAATACTGATGATGTGAGACGACCAGATTCAGTGGCTTAATAGCATCTTTTAGCTTTAAAAGATAAATATTTGGTATTCCAACTCACTGTTCTCGACCTGGAATAACGTGATCACAAGAATCTCAACCTGGAAAAGTCTGATCACGATAGTGAAAGTCACAGGAACAATAATAATACCGCAGGACGTCCCTGCATTTGGGCGACTGCAACAGAAAAAACTGCTATAGTGAAAAAGACGCTAGAAACGGGAGAGCGAGGAGGGGAAAGGCAGGAAAAGCCAGCCGGGCACTCAAAAAGCAGATTTTGGGCAACCCAGGGCCCCACGACACGCGGCGCGGCACCTCGGCCTCCCGCGGGGCCTGGCCTGGTTCGGCGGCCGGGCCCTTCCCGGAACGCCAGCGCCGCCCAGCGAGAGCCCAACTCACCCCCCTGCTCGAGGACTTTCTTGGGGGCCAGCACGGTCGCCACCTCCTTGACCTCCTCCATGACGACATCCGCGTTGGTTCCCAGGATCTTCTTCAGCCTCTCCAGCTCTTTGGGCGCGTTCTTCTTCCTCTTCTCCGCCCGCATCTTCCTCTTCCATTTGCTCCTCAGGCTCTTCGCCATGGCCTGAGGGAAGAGGGGGGGAAGCAGCGAGGGCGAAGCAAGCGCGCGACGCAGGAGCCGTTAACGGCGGCTGCCGCCCTCCCCACAGCGCGCGGACGCGGGAGCCGCCCCTCCCCCCCCGCCAGCGCACGCGGTCGGGCCGCTCCCCCCTCCTCGCGCTGGGCGGTGATGGCTGCCCGCGCATGCGCGGTGAGGCCCCCCCGCCAGGCCCCGCCCCCGCGGATCTCCCTCAGCCGCCCCTCCGCTGAGGGCGTGAGGCGGTGTGGGGCCACCGCCGCGCGTGCGTGTGGCGAAGTTAGATGGAAAAGATAAAACACGCATTTCATCACAAAGGGAAAAAAAAAAAAAAGAGCAAAGTTTTATTTTTAGTCAACGGCCATACAGTTCTTAAAGAAACCCTAAGACAGCAGAGGGGAATCATCACCCTTGAGCAAAACGATTGGCAGTCGTGCTTCAGTAGCTTCTGTCAAGTTCCAGGACGGAAAGTGGCCGCTGTGGCCCCGGGACGTTGCCCACTGTACCACCTTGCCTTTTGCTAACCTCGCACCCACAGTACAGGCCAGCGGTAACAATTCTTCAACACTGAATAGGACATAAGAAAGCCATTCAAAATCGTTTTTACTGTGCTTGCCTTTCCAGCATTTCAACCGCCTGGGAAGCCGCCGCTGCCACCGCCCCACTCCCCAGCCAGCCAGGGCCGGCAGTGCTCCTTCTTGGCACCCTCAAATTCTCCAGTCTCAGCTTCAAGAACAGACCAAAGGTTTTCCAATTTTTATTGACGATTAACCTTAATATTCACCGAGCTGATAAAATTCCAGAATCCATCTCCAAATGATTTTCCAGAACACTGAAAGATAGGCAATAAATAATACTTAAATGAAGAACGTTCCCTTTAAGGTTTTAACACCTTCCCACTTTACATAATAATTTGACAGCTTTTAGCAAGAACAGAGTATCTCTGTTAGAGACAGCATTCCATTTTACCAAACAAAAACCAGAAAAAAATTTAGCTTAGTAAAACATTGCACAATGATAAACTCAGTCTACCCTTATGTGGTACACACACTCGTAATCCCAAAGGAAACATTTCCAGCAGCTACTGAACAGCAGAACCAGGCTTAGTCCGGAGCAATCAGAAGTTGGCAAATGTTTTCATCATGAATTATGTCAAGTGCAAATTAAGTGATTAAAAAAAGTGACTGAAATGACAACAGCATGTTTACTACATAAAATACATATTCTAGAGAAGAACTTTAGCTACATAAAAAAGCCTTCTTTTTTTTTTTTTTCCAAAGCAGGGATCAATATTAATGGAATGAAAAAGTAATAAAGATTCAGTCTCCAGAAGACAGAACCACACAGTTTGCTGATCATCCAAATGCTTAACTTTATGTCACTATAGTCAAACCACACTGCATTTGACTATTTTTTATTAAATGCCTCCAGTAAACGCAGCAGGTGTAAGAACAGATTGATGATGTCCAAGTAGAGATTGATTGCAGCCAGTATGTACTCTTCAGGGGATAATCTGTGCATCAGCAAATGAGTGTCATAAATAATAAATCCGCAGAACAGAAGAGCTCCAGAAGCAGCAAACACCAACTCTATTGTCTCACTGTAGAAAAACATCTGGAGGCAAATGAAGCATGAAAAAAAAAAAAAAAGTAAATTTAAATTTCTTTTTAATATTAAAATTCCTGTATAATGATATGCCACACTTAAGGATACACACTGTCTTTTTACTATTATATACACATAAATACAATATTATGATAACATTTCAATGTTCTTACTTCATACAGTCCCCAGTCACACAATCTCTCTAATGGACTAAAAGTGCCACCACTTAAGAGAGAACAAGCTCTGGTCTCCAGAATATTAAGAACAGCAGAAAAATTAGAAAAACAAAATACAATTAAAACCCAAATCTTCCCATTCTCTCAGTCAATCAGTGTATCTTGACTGATAAATTTTCTCAATCGCTGCAAATACCACTTTCACATTAGCAAGAACAGCATCCAACAAAAATTTGTACTGGAAACGAATGGTTAAAACATCACCAGCATGACCTACAACTGTAATGGATCTGTTAAGGAATATTCTTTTATTAAGCTGTATTAGACAATCCAAAACCTTTTGTTACACTATAAGTTAGTACAAGATTTATGTTAAAGAATATTTTTTAACCTTGAACACAAGGTATCTTACCCTCAGGAAACCTGAGAAGATTAAAATCCACAAACAAGCAAAGAGGCTGAAAAAAAAAATAAACTGTGAGCAACTATATATTTTATTTTAAATCTTACTTAAAATCTTTTCCTATAGAACCTCTTCACAATATATTCAGTAAGTAAATGTCCACAGTTCTTAGATGCCAGCTGTTCTTTGGTATCAGCAGTAAAACTCGGTTTTATAAAGGTGTCCTTTATAAAAGGACTTTTAGAACTTTTATAATTTAAGATAAATAATACCCTCATCATTCCCTTGAAGCAGGTACTGTTGACCTGCATTCCTTATTATATCCACATAGCTTGCTTTAAAATAGGAAAAAATATCCTAACCAAAAAAAAAATTTAAAAAATCATCAGTATGGCAACATACCCTGCTCCAAATCTGCTGAAGTCTCTCTTTGACTGCAAGGTATATGCAGTCAGTCCAAGAAATACAGCAGTAGTAAGAATAAAGGCTTGCAAGACGATGGACACATCATAGAAACTCACTAGAAACAGAAAAAGTAAACTGTCATTTAAAGTACACTACAGTATGTATTTGCTAAGTTATCTTTTGAGGAAATGGAAGTTTAAACTTTCACAGACAAGGAAAAAACAAATCTCAACTGTGAACAAAAAATGTAAATTATGCCTGAACTTGTCTTTGCACTTCAAAATTATGATCATAGGATTTACGGACTCTTGCACTAGCTAAGTTTGACAGTTACCTTACAGCTGCAGCTTCCTAAATGGAAATAACAGATCTTCCCTACTCACAATAATAAACAAACAAACAAACAAAAGAAGTATTTTAAGCATAGATATGTGAGATCTTAAGGAAGAAACTATCTGAATTTTTCATTATACTGAAACAAGGGGAAAAAAAAAAATCAGTCCTCTATAAAGGCTCAAAGTTTTGATTAGGGGATAGGAGAGGAAAGGTTAGAGAAATTAGTGGAAGCTTTTTCTTTCCTTCTTCCTCCTTAATCTTTCCTCTCCCCAAATGACTTTTTTTTTTTTTTTGCAGGAGACCATAAGCCACAATGAAGAGGTTTGATCTTAGGCTGGAAGCTATAGTTTGAGGTAATGCCATGCCATGACTTGTCTGCACATCGCCTTGTCTCAACCCTGACAACTAAGTACAGAACTCTCCAAGCTCAAATTCCCTTGGAGGAAACTGAGGGGGAAGATAAGGATATTTCACTTGAAGATCAGATCTGCTGAGAGCTGCCTTATAGGAAAGAACATTGCTACCTGTACTAGAAGAAGGGATGGCACAACTCATTTCTCACTTCAGGTTTGTACAGTTTCAGTTCTGGATCAGAAATAATTTTTCTCCCTTGATTCCTTGGTGTTTGCTAAACTCGTATCACTATCATTAAAATTTTCAAACTGGAGATTTATTATCATTTTAGTCCCACCTAAGAATCTCAGATAGCAATTAGTACAACATATTGGATTCCTTTTCCAATTTCTTTATGGAATCAAACAATAGGATGGCTACCATTTACCTGTAATGGCAACTGTCAGTGCTTCCAGTAAGGTCTAAAAAAGTAAAAACAAAAAAATTACAAGGATAAAATAAAAAAACACCACAAAACACTTACACGGAGACTTCACACACAATGAGTCCCATTCTGCTACATAATCCCAGCATGCATTACATTAGCTCTCTTGTTCAATCTTTGTATATGAAAACATGTTTAGTTTTCAACAAGAAAATGGTAATCATACTGGTTTACTGTGCTGGAAGTTGTTATGTTACATAAAAAGAATACAACATAAACTGAAAATTAATGAGAGACAGCCTCTATAGAATAATGCCATTTAGGTCTCCTACTCAAAGCACACAGCATTTTTATCACACTTACCACAAACTGTTCAAGGGGCTATAAAATTAATGCACTCTTAATATCTTGTTAGACAGCTAGGTGTCTGCATCAACTTCCTTTTCCCACTCATCCTTGTTTTAAAACAGCTAACAAAACCAAACATACTATTTATGTCTGTGTCGAAGGCTAGTATGAGCTCCGAGTTTTTCTAAAAGATAATTTCAAATTAAGTTTCATTACAATAACGTATGAGAAAAGTCTCTACGTCATGAACCAAGAAGTCAGAAATAAAAAAAACATTTAACTCATATTCTGTTTAAACCAATTTATCACACAGATTTGAATCCTTCTATTCCTACACAATGTAATAATTAAACTGTCACACCACAAACTCCCACACGACAATTGGCTAACCTATTACATCACTCCTTGTTACAGCTGCACTTGTTCAAAGTTTTTAATGATTTTACTCTCCTGTAAGAGTTCAGACGTCAGAAAGATATAACTGTGTTACCATTTAAACAGTCAACTTACAAATTAGTACAACTTACAAGCTTACTTATAAAGCTGTTTTCCTGTTGTATCACAAATATAATTTAGGCAACTCCTAAAGCATCAAATTCTAATTGTGCTATTGTGACTTCTTTCCAGAAGACTGATTTGCTACATAATCCGAAATATCCAAGAGCAACAGTTAGCCCGTATCTACAACTTTGCAACACCAGGCAGGAAACTGAAATTTGAGGACAGCTCTGATTGACCTGCCTGTGCTTGAAACATGCTCTGAATTTAGCATCAAAAAGACAACAATTAAAGAAATCAACACATATCGTTAGTTGATTTTGGAGCTCTGCTGGAGGTTGTCCATTAAACAAATAAGGTAACAGGAATACTTTCTTACTAAGCAATTTCACAGAAAAATCACTGACATCAACAGAACAATGAGAGCAGATAGATAGACATATTTATACACACATAGGAAAAAAAATAGTTTGCTCAACCTGATTCCAAGTTCTAACACTCTTCCTAAAAAGATGCTGGAAGAAACCTGATGTAGAGGCTATCTAGGAATAACCCGCAGACAGAATCTCCAAAGAATAACTCAGACCTTCGTAAGTATATAGGATATCTTTAAAGGAATACGAGAAAAACAAATTACCCACCACTAGTTTGCTTCAAGGATTTAATCAAAATGAAAGTTATTCTAGGGACTATTAACATTGAATTTATATAAATACTTACAAATCCAAAAAGCAGGTATAAATTAACAGGATGCTGGTGTCTGTAGAGGGTCAGTGCCACAATTATAGCCAAAGATCCAAACCCAGATATCAAAAGCAAGGCAGGCCTGTAAAGTTCCACAAAAAAAAAAAAGTCATCAAAATGAAAATAAAATATCTGGAAGACTAAAAATCTGTTTATATAAAACCAAGTTTTTAAGTGAACACCTAGATAAAGATACTGCTCTGTATAACCAAAGTAAATATAAAGCAAGTTTTACAATAAAACTGCTCTAAAGCACACCACCAGATAATCAGTTAAAACCAGCACAGTCACAAGTAAAGATGATTTTTTCATACTGAAGATAAAGACTGCCAAGGAATCCATCACCTGGAGATGAACCCATATGAAGACAAAAATCCATCTGTAATAAGCTAACAGTATTAAAGTATATGTAATATTTTGCCTACTAAGAACTTCGTATTCAGGGAAATATTTTTTATAAGCACCTGAATGCAACAAACACAGGCACTAACTGTACCAAAGAAAATCACTACTGACCAGTAAGTATAATTAAATCATTCAAGCAGCCCTCCAAGCAAAAACTGTACCAAAATCAAACACAAAAATCGCAACAGCTCTAACTGAACAGGGCAATTTAAAATGATCAGATTTAAGTAGAAAATTACAACCTCTGTTGTATACACTATAGCTTATACAGAAACTTCCATATAGCGTTTGGTGCTCTGTTTTTATTTGGACTTTGAAGTGAAAGTAAAAGCAAAGTCTGCAAGTGAACTTGGAAAACAGAAACTGGGCTCAGTGCTCTCCTCCTTTCCCCCAGTTGTTCTTTTCTCCTGCCTGTTCACCACGGTTTGGATTTTGAGACTTGTTTTTTAATCATTAAAATCTGAGAGGCAAAAAGAAGCAAGCTCAAGGGAATTTTAGCAGACTAGTTTTCAGAAAAAAAAAAAGAAAGAAAAAAAAGAAGGAAAAAAAAGATGGTGGAGGGAGGGAGAGGAGTAAGACATGATTCAGCTTTTTCAAACAGGTACCTATAAACAGCATTCTGAACAGATTCTAAAAGTAGACACTTAGACCATAAAACAAGAAATGTCAATAATTGAGATGTTCTGCAACTGATGTATAGGTTTTTATAGTGTAAATATTAAAATAAGCACTATTAATAAAAATTGATTAAAAGAAACTTTAATGATAATAAAATAAATTGTAATAATATACCAAGGAGAAAAATGTCAGAGAAGAAAAGTTATTTCCTTGTCAGGTTACAAAATTTCCTACAGAATTAATTACAGAATCAAAACACAGGGTATAAAAATGATTAGGAATACTGAAGTGTTCCAGAGCAACAAACTACATAAACTATAATTAACACCCGATAAACAGCTCAATTTCATTTTAGTACCTACCTTTCATGAACAAATGCCTGCACTCCAGTAGAGTACAGAAAAATTGCAGATGTGACTGTGGTCAAAAGAACTTGAATGGAAAGAATGCTGTAGACTTTCCGTAGAAAAGCTAGAGTAAGGAAAAATAAAATGAAATCACGTTTGAATTACACTTACAAAGTAAAACAGTAAATCAAATACAAGTTTTCTATTTGATAAGGAACCATTAGAAACTATTCAGTGAAAAAACACAGAGCAATGTGGTAAGAAGCCATTCTTCCTTAAAAAATGGACACTGTATTCCAGCAAAATTACATTTATTCCTGGACTTCATTATTTAAACAACGACAACAAAAGAAATACAAAAAACATTTGCAAGGAATTTACTTCAGATTATTTAAACACTACATACACCTAATCTCACTAAGAAATTACTAACAGTATACCTTCTCCATCATGTCACTGGTATCTAATGGACCTAAATAAACAAAGATTAACTTGGAAGTTCTGTGGAAGACAGAAACAGCCATAAAAGTTTAAAACCGAAAAACTTTTATAGTAATATTTATTTGATTGACTTTCTGCCACGTTAAATATCATTTACCATCACCCGACTTGCACTGTACTGAATGGGTATCTACAGATACAGACTACTAGGAAAAAAATCCCAGAATTATACTAACAGGCTTCATAATTCTAATTCATAACTGCAGCAGGTAAAGTTAAATACACTTGTAAGCCACAAAGGACTGAGGCCTATTTTGTTGTAATAAACTTAACAAACCTAGAAATAGTCTGCTAGCTAGCTTAGACTTTTGCCCACATTATTAAATGTATCAGCAATTTTGCTAATGACATACTTCCTTCATCTTTCCTATGGCATCCTTTATTTTCCAAACAAGATAAAAACATATTTTTATAGGAAGAGGTTTCCTGTTTATCAGATACCTAATAAAAAATTCACAGCACACAGCTGTTTTTATTCCATGACGCATCCCATAACAGAATAACTATTTCAACAAGGATTACTGATTAGACACCTTCTACAAGAGTACTCAGTGCATTTGAGACCTGCGTACTAACAGCAAAGCAATATTTCATGGCCACTAATACGACCTTGTAACACTTCAGCAGAGGAGACAATATTTTAACGCCTCCCATTAGAAATTAAAATCCCTCAAACTCCTGGTTAAACTACCATAATTATGGGCACCAATTTTAGCATTTATGCATCTCATGTATCATGTCTGGGCTCCACAATGCATCACTCCGGGGAAAATCGAGTCCGAACCTACATGGGTTTAATCCCTCTGATAGAAAGACCTCGCCCTTTACGTCCGAATGATAAAATCTTTCCCCTGATGCTTAACCTGGCCGAAGTAACGCCCCGGCTCCCCACTCACAGCCTTTACCCACAAGGTTCAAATACTGCGCAGAACCCGAATTCAGCTAAACGCCACAGGGCGACGGGGTTAACAGAGAGGCGCTTGCTGGGAGCGCTGGGGCACGACCCCCCACTCCCCTCGACCGCCCAGCGAGGGGAGGCCGCAGGGGCTGGGGGGCTCGGTGTGTGGCGGTCGCACTCATCCCCGGCCCCTACCCATGCGGATGTGGACGCTGGCCGAAGCCACGTTGCTGCCATAGTTGAAGTCATCTTCGATGGAGCCCCGCGGGTACAGCTGCTCCGCCGCCATGGCCGCCGCCGCCGCCGCCGCCTCTCTCCACCCCCCCGCACCGGCGGCAACCGCCCCGCTTCCGGGAGAGGCAGCCGCACTCCGCATCACCGAGCAGGGCCCTCCGTCGAGCGGCCGAGCGCGTCGATCGCGGCTCGTCCGTGGGGCCGCTGCGGGGCTCGGAGTGTCGCGGGGGGGTGGGGTGGCTGTGGGCAGCGTCGGGCGTGGTGTGCCTTGCGAGGGAACGGACACCCCCATCCTTTAGCTTGTGCGTGCGGGGTTGGCATGAGTAGAGTAGGACTGGGTTATCTATGAAGATCTCCTCAGCGTACTGAAGTGTGGGTGAATGTCACCCCGGCCTGCCCGGCGCGGGACTCACAACGGCCTGAGCACGCTCTGTGTTTGTGTTTGTCCTGAACACCATTTCCTATGCCTGTTTTAGGTCTGAAAGGTCTGGAAAGGAAGCTCCAGCGACTGAAAAATCAGCCCTTTTACTGGTTTTCACCTTTAATTCACCGCTAGCCGCTATGCGGAGAGTTCTCTGGCAAGCTGCGGCCGTCGGCACCTACAAACACATAGCTGCATTCAGCGGTAACTAATAAAAGAAGCTTTGGGCATTAATGCTCTCCATCAGTGGAGTTTCACTTCTATAAACCTTTAACACAAAGTAGAATTTTAACAAGGCAGACGAGTTTCACTTCTATAAACCTTTAATACAGAGTAGAATTTTAAGGCTTTCTTATAGCTCCGTGTCCTTCAAAGTAAAATCAATTCAACAGAACACAAAGATGCTCAACATTTCTCAGGTGTCACATAGTGCTTTGTACCATCGGATTTGGTACGTGTGGAATTGTCCCCCAAAAGTTACCCAAGGTGCTAGCTCACATTTAGGAATTCACAAAAGCAAAAATTTTTGGGATGTAGAATGGGGAGTGCAATATATTACTCTTTAGCTTGTGAATGTTATCTAAAGCGTGCCAAGAAGCTGAAGTGATAGACACTTTAGAAATATATGTAGTAGATTAAAAATGCTTTTAAAATTTGGAAAATAGTGGCCTCTATTGTGCAGATTCTCAAGGGAGAAGTAAGTAAATTATATGATTCTGTGATGAAATAATTTTGAGTGAAGTTCTGTGGAATTGACTTAAGATACTACAGTTGCAGATAGAAAAATTACGAACATGACTTTATATTCTGGGAAGTATTGATGGCTTTCCTAATGTCATTTTGCAGTTTTAGTTGCTGCAGAGCAAGATCTTTCAGCTTCAGTTCTGAATTTGGAGATACATGCATTGTTTGAATTGCTGAATAGTAACTGTTCTGAAATAATTAGGCTGTCTGCTTTATTCTGTGTGCCTCTGCAGAAGAACAACCCTGATGTTCTCCCAGAAGAAGTATTTAGAGTTATGGACAAGCATCTGTTGTTGCCTTCTCCTAATAACCCGCAGTGCAATTTTCTTTAAAATGCCTCTAAGAGACAGCCTGTCTTCTGGGTGAGAAACAGAAAATTTCAGAGCATTGCCTCAGAGTCCACTCCTGCAAACAGTTTGAGCCTAGAGATGACTGAAGGAGAAACATAATAGTAGTCTTCAAATACTTTATAAAAGGCTGCTGCAGTCCTCCAGATGTGGAGAAAGTATCACATAAAAGGTAGTGTGGCTCAAACCACAGTAAGGAAGATTCAGGGTGAAAAGTTGAAAACTTTTTAAGAGTAATCAGGGTAAAGCTGTGGAGTATTTAGCCTGGGGTTTAGGCACCTTTGCACTTTCACACACCCACCACCTGTGTGGAAGATGTTGGTCTGATGTAAGCCACCAAGAAGCAGTAATGGACTGATTGAGAAAGGCAGGAGACAAATCAGCAAATGATTCAATGATGCTCCTCATGAGCACAGTCTGCCAGCGTTGCCGCAGATGGGAACAGAAAAATTCTTTTTGTCTGCAATACTGATAAAGCCTGCGATTTTCATGCTGAAAGAGAGCATCATTCTTGTCTTAAGAGCATTTTCTATTACTTGCAGGCACACAGAGAATGCACGGTGCAGTGAGCAGTGCTTTGGAGTGACTGTACTGAACCGAGGTTTAATAACACCGAGCCTGGCTGAGTGCTTTCAGTGTCTTTGCAATTTTCCATTCCTCACTCGGGAACGTATACCTTATAAAATGCTAAATATGCCTTATAAAAAGCAAAGTATGTTTTACATTGCCTTTCTTTTCTGTATTTGATGTTTCCATAAACATACCTCCATCACACTATTTTTATTTGAAACCGCTGCAGTCCCACAGTGACTTGCTTAGGACTGGCTAGACGCTTCCACCCTGCGTGTGTGCGTGTAGGGGTGAAAGAGCTTTCTGTTCTCCAGGTTCTGGTTTGGACTCCGGTATGGGGAAAGGAAGCTCGCTCTCACTAGAGCCCTGGTTAAGTACCACGAACTCCTCTGTGCCTTTTGTCTGCATTATACATAATCGGTGGCTTTGCTGGAGAGAGTCCATCTGGCGCTCAGAGGTACTTGGGAAAGGTACTTGGAGCATGGCCAGGATTCTGCTTCTTTCCAGAGGTTTGTTTTTAAATCATTATGCCAGAACCCCTTCATTTGCTGCAGCTTTGAGCCATGTTCCCAGGGTGACCCCCTTGCAGCATCGCTTTGATACACATCTGTGTATCTTCACATCGTCACGGCTGTTGTTGGGGCAGGACTAAGCGGTCTCCTCTTCCCAGCTTGCGAAGTCCGTGACCTCTGCGTGGCTCCGTACAAATGCAGGAGACACGACTGCTGTAATATTGCTGGAGTGCAGGGTGTGTGGTTCCAGGAGTATGTAGTCACACATGGGGCCTGGTGGCTGCCTGCCAGCCTTTCAACGAGGAGGTAACATCCAGGCAATTTGTGTTCGGAACGGCACAGCGCACACACCTCAGATGCAAAGTGATGTGGGAAAACAGGGGAGAGGTTTGGTTGTATAGGTGCATCCACATGGCCATTAACCAGTAATTTATCCCCAGGTGAACTTTGTTCTCTTAATTTCAAAATAGCTGGCTAGTTAAGTTAGAGGGATCATTTTATTGTGTAACCCTAAGGAATCTTAATTTGAAGAAACATGAGTTACTGTGAAATTATCCTCACACTCAAGAAGTTTTCCATGAGAAGCGGAGACAAACTCGTAATTGCAAAGTTCTTCCAAATTATATTTCAAAATGTACACTACATAGCTGCAAAACTGTCATGATGTTCTTACAGGGCAGGGAAGTAACAAAGAAACTCGTGTACAGATGTGCCATCTATTGCCCTAAAATCCCTGATGGTGAATTTTCAGATCCACTAATCAAGGGAAGAGAGTTTATCTTCTGTAGTACTTACAGTTTCATGAGAAGGGCTCTACCCTTTAGCAAGCATGTCATCAAGCCAACTTTTCATTATTCGAGGATGAAAAACTTCTCTCAATGTTCCTTCAGTTTTCTAGAGCCCACATCTTTGCCTAATGATATGTATGTTCTTTCTCCTATGAAACCCCATCTGCACTATGTATTTTTTCATTATACCTCACCATATTATAACTAGATTAGCTCCTTTATTTTTTTTCCCCGTGCACTGTTGATAAACTAGGTTAGTTTTGTGTCTCAGACTCACTGGAGGTCTCAGATGCAGTAAGAAATGGGTCACAGGTAGGAACGGAGCTATCTGGTGGCACTAGGCCATCAGTGTGGGGGGTATGAGCTTACTGGCCGGGGAGCACAATGTGGAAATTAACTGCCTGGACCTTTATTGTAAAGATTGTGAACAGCTCTCAAACAGACATGTTGGTCTGACTGATGCGATTTTGTGAGACACTTTGAATGGTGAGGGTGGGTATGTTTTCTTTTGAAAACAGGACTTCAGGATCAATATATCTCTGCAGTTAATAGAGTAGTGCTGGTAGTTAATAAATTAATCCTAGCATTAAAAGTCTTCTCCCAAGGTGTTTGTCCATTTATGCAAGTCTCATATCTTTAAAAAGTGCAATCTTATTTTGACAAGCTGTGGTATTTTATATTTTAAGGTCAGAATCAAGCTGAAAGCTGTCTTTGCTTATAATCACACCTTTGTTATTTTAGTAACTGCTGGAGTTTAAAAAGAGCAGTACCGTTTTATTCCATGTGTATGACTGAATCCTGGGGAAATAATAGAGTGCTATACTGACAGCCCAGTTATAGGTAATTTTGCCTTCTTTATGGAAGTGATTTTTTTCTTTTTTTCTTTCTTTTTTTTTTTTTTTTTTTTTGCATGGAGGTGATATTACAAACGAAACCAATTTAATAGCTGCACCACTTTGTGAAATAGAAGGGAAAGCATTCTTGAATTTGTTTCTCTGAGTGAAACATCAAAACATACCCTGGTTTGAGTCTGCTGTTATTTTGTTCAGTTTCAATTTAGCAGTAAGACCTGCTTGAATTTTGGGAGTGCCATATGGAGTCTGCTTATAAAACTACTCTTTCTGTACTACTCTTTCTGCGCAAAGTCCAGCATGCTTTAATTGTCTTTACGGGACAGCCAACATCACCTGTACTGGATAGTCATTCTGTCATCTAAAACCTGGGTGTACTCATACAAAATAGTTTATCTAAATCTTTGAGCTTATTTTGTCATGAACACTTTTAATTCTGAACCTTTCTTTTTTTCATGTCTTTTTGAAAAGTTGAGGTCAGATTTGCTTATTTCTGTTTGAGTGTCTAGTGCAGTTTAACCCTGATAAGAACTCTCACATGTAACAACAGTAATTTTATGCTGTTAAAGGAGAAAAGTCCTTCATTTAAAATAGCAGCGGCTTTGCAGCTGTTGGTTGGGTCTACTCTGCAGAGATTGAAGAGCAGGATTCAGCTCCAGATGAAGACAACTGCGTTTAGGTGTACATAAATATGTATCCACGTGTGCTAAGTGCCTAAGCAACAGTGCTGCTAATGGAAATAGGAGTGGCATTCAGATGCTGAAACTTAAGTGTCCAGTGCCATTTTATGGCCCTCAGGTTATCAGCCTCAATTCCATTTGCTCCTCCAGAGAGGCACCAGGCTTCTGTGAATCCTCTGTTATATCTGCAAAGCC